ACTCACAAACAAAGAGCGGACAATAAGTGAACTTTGTATTAACCTTGGATTATGAAATGTCCACCATGTCTGTAAAAGGTTTTCTCTCCGTTGATTATGTACATTGTTACGGTTAGCGTGTATGATATTTTTTAACTGAAATGTGGGCTCCAGTGCTTGCAAAAGTTACACACAATACAAAATCCAATACACAATTCCATCCGCATCCAGTTTCTGCTCATTTATTAACCATTTTCACTGATTTGTTCGTGCATCTCTCAAGTCACGTGATGCTTTGTTTCTTCATTTGTCTGTATAAAACCACGTGTCCGTTTTAGGTCAAAATGCCTTGTATAGAAAATACCTGTATTATAGTCCGATATTCGTGATACTACTCTCTTTTCTCGAAGTAAAAACAAAATGTTCACCGTTAATGCGGACATTCAATGCGCATCGGATCAGTTCAAAGTCAAATCTGGGACAGTTTCAAATGAGCATGAGAAACATGGCGCGCTATTCACATAATGAGCACACAAGAAAGTAAGCGTTTTTCAAGAGTACATCAGTAAATTATTTGAGACAACCAGTAGACATGGAATATGAAAGAAAAATTTGATTGTCGTTCTTCTGACAGACCCTGATTTCATATAATTCGATACTTAAATGTTTGCAGAGCCAATTTAATCATTCTGCCAAACTTTTTCAACCAAATTAATTTTCTTTCATTACGAGTGTTGATTTTCCCATATGAAAAAATATTTATTTGATCATTTGGTACAACAGTTGATCAACAAATCTGTCGCCAAATAGAGTAGCCTATTTCCTTCTGATTATCAATCGTTGAAGATCGGCCAGTGAAAATCCTATGTAGTGAGATTTTTCTACTACTCCATATTTCAGTAGTGCAATGTTCTCTGTCACGACTGTGAATCCGCTCCAGTATTGGCTGACTGTTGTATGGCTTCGGTTATTGTTCGTGAAACTTCCCGCCAATATGTACAGTTCTGCGACCAGAGAGAATATTCCGATAAAGTTTTCTGGCCCACAAGGCATTGTTTTACAGATATGCAGATATGCACGTTCAAAGTTGAACACAAGTGATTTGTAACGTTCTGGACCCTGGGAGTGCATGTCAATTTGGAACCTGGGTAATCTGCCATGTCAGTAGACCATGAATATCATGTCCGATTGCCATCTTAAGCTGTATATTGTTACGTGTGAAATCTGATTGTCCGAAACAGTTGGCATTGATAAGTATGTGGGCTACCGTCCAAACTTACGATCGTAACGGACGATAGGAATGTTCCAGCTGTGCGGCGAAACAAACAACCCAATAGAACACCTGATACGCTCGGTTGATTCCGAGGCGTTCCAGATGTCGTTTTGCATGAACTGTGGCAGTATATTCTCTCTCACTCTCAGATTTTCTTTCATCTCACCCTTTTGGGGCAACAGTATATCTGCATCTTTTATGCTGAACAAAACTAATGAGCTGCTCTAACCGGTGCTAGTGCCGGTGAACAGAAAACACTGACTGGTTTGTATTTTTTTATTCCTCATTTAAGAAATAACTACCGAATTTTATGCCAATTTTTAATTTACTGTCACTGTAAACAAATCCTACAATCGAAAGGGTTTTCGCCATACGCAATGATGCAGTAAAATCGTTCCGGACATAAATCAAGCTATTTGTTTTTTGATATGGTCTGTCCTATTGAAATTTATCCAGACAAAGGCTTGTTTGCCTCAAATTCACAAACGTTTTCAAGATTAGATTGACCGATTGGTTTTTCATGTTGTTTTTGGACAAAAATGTCGGTTCCATCTAAGTCTGTGTAGAACCATAATAATGGTCTCGTAATAAAATTGGTTATCACTTAGTTGTGAGGTCAATTGTGATATTTGATTAAGTCAGCAAGTAGTTCTTACAAAGCACTTACAGTGTCAAATTGTTTTTTTTATCGAAAGATTATATCAAACTGTTTGTCAAGCACTCATATAAAAACAATACCGCTCAACATGGCCCTCCGTTAACAAGCTTACATTTTGTGTCATCAGCATTGAACACTGATATGCGGGTTACTCGCCAAATTGTGTCCTCCGTCGTAGAGATATTAGGCAGAAAAGAGCAATAAGGATTGATTTGTAATCAAGTCATCAAGATGGCCACTTTGAATGCCATGCACGAACTCCAGGCCTGTCTGTTTGTCCACAGTTCTTTTCCAGTTCATTTTTCACATTCACATTGGGTAATTTTTTAATCTATCACATCTTCGTGTTCAATAAATTCCCTCGATATTATCTTCATTTCACTTCCTTTCATTGAAGAGAAACACAATGATCCAACATTCAGGAGGGAAGAACCGGCCAATCAAAAAGGGATGTCATACCACACTTAACGGGGAAATTAGGATAGTGATGATAGAATTCGGACGCATGTCCTCCGAGGCGATAACTGGGCGGCCTTTGCCACTCGGCCACCACCGCCATGTCATATATTCGTCCAATTCAAAACCTGATTCAATAGTGATGTTCGTGAGGTGGTTATATATACAACCTTCGCAAAACATGGAATGTGCAACTCTGCATCAACTGAAATACGTTTGGTCTCATTCCTTTTATCGACACGGAAGTACACAATAACAGTCAAACAAGGATCAAACTCAATTTTTGACTGACTGGAGAGAGGATACTCACTCGGCTGTTTTTCTTATATTTCAAGTCTGAACTGCACGCGGGGCACAGTATTGTATAAATGTATGGCTATGCTTCATTGCAGGTAGCTGGATGAGCAAAAGAATTGAACATAAACCTTGATGCAAACAAGAACCATATGCTAACAGAGGTATCATACAGAATGAAGATTCCCGAGGAGGAACACTATCTCTTTATAGAATAGTAGGTATTAATATGAAACAACTTCAGATGAACTAACCAGTGTGCACAAGCAGTGCACAAAGCATAGCGGGGAGTTACTTAGACTACGGTCTGTCCTTACATGCGTACAACCTGGAGTCTTCGTCTCAGTACACAAGGAAATAGTCCGATCGCATATAGGAGTATTGCTTACATGCTTGGCTACCCTTATTCAAGAAGGATACAGCCTGTCTAGAAAAGATTCAGAGATAGACCACCAAAGTGGTAGAGAGCCAAAATGATAGAACATGGGAAATAACAGAGGTACTCGAGCTTTTCTCATTAGAATGGAGGAGAACCCGGGGAAATCATATGAAAACTTTCAAAATCATGAAGTGGCTATCATGGATAGGAATGTGGAGTCTTTATTCAACAGCTCCCCAACATGGAACTAGAGGGAAATGAGAGTTGGAGCTCATGAACCAGAGGTGGAGACTAAGCATAGGTAGGCACCATTTATGAATCGGATATTAGATAGTTGTAACCGGCTAATAAAGAAAATAGTCGACCTACAGATAGCGTAGGGTTTTAGGACTGCACTTGGTAAACGATGAACGGACTTATCTCACTCAGTCCCTAGTGAACAAATTATTTTGTATATCATTCTGTTTTTCCTTTTTTTCCATAATGAAACGCCCACGTCTAAGAATTCAATCGTCAATCTATTGAGGTGAAATCGAATCGTAGTGATTGACATTCATCAGCTATGCGTATACGTTAATCACTAACCTAGTCATTCGATTCATCACTTTGATTTGCCAACGGACTGCTTTGAACCAAATGTCTATAAGAACTAGGCCCGTGTTGCTGATGAGAGATTTGCGAAGAAAATATGATGTATACACTCATTCTTTAGAATACTCGTAAAATGCTATGACAATTGCTCAAACATCGTTTGTAAGTTTCACCGCGTTCATTGGTGCACTGTATTCTTTTCATTTGGACCTTTCTTGCTCCGTCAGGTGGAAGTGTTTCGTGGCACAGAATGTGGCAAGGAACAGTTGGGAGAGGGAGTCAAATCTAGTAATCGTTACGTCCACGAGTTGGGTCCTATTCTGCCAATCCATGTGTAAGCTATGATCTCGTGTCAAACCCGGTTCACATGGCCTTCAAATAGTGTAGATATTAGCACCAGTTTGCTAGTCACTATTTTTTTTCTTCACTCTCAGCTCAACTTTTGAAACCATCAGCAAGTAAGATGTTCCAACACGCATCTCTTCGAAGGCCAAAAAACATCATGTCACGCATCCGGAATTCATCAAGAATTTTCAGCACATGCATTCCATTGCGCAAAATAAACGTGATAGTTTTCTGTTTACCCGTCCAACCCGTTTCAACAAGCAAGCACTTCGCATATTTTTGGAATACGAACTCTGATGTGTTCGGTCCAACCAAATGTTCGGTTCATTTTTCCAAAACGGCCAGCAGTGAACTCTTTTGTTTGCTTGAACGGGAATAGGTCAAAACACTGGCGATCGATTCTGTTTCACAAAGTGCACTAGCACGTCAATGAGTCAGTTTTGCCATCCCACACTGTTAGTTGACCCAGTTTCATCGATTTAACGTTCACATGTGAACCACAGTTGCATTGCTGGTACTCCGCAGTCATTTGTTTAGTATTTAATACAACAGGGGTTTATAAATACTTCAATTCTTTAATTTGTCACTGATATTTTTTTTAAGCTGTATATCCCTGGGTGTATATGTTCTCAGATAGCCCATCAATAGAATGAGGCAGAAAACGGATTTAGTAAAAAAGAAATATTTATATAAATTTCGTGCTAACTGAGCACCAGAGAATGAAGACCGCGAGCGTTTATTTCAAATCGATTAGTTTCAAATCGACAAAGTAAGAAACTTGCAGAGGTACAGTAAGATTTTTTTAAGTCATGAAAAAGGATATATAAAAGATCACCGAAGTCATATTAAGCTTTCGTTAAAATGTATAATCACTTATCGCATAATTAAATCAAAATTATAAAGAAAAGTAAGTTATTCGTGCGTAAACAGTAAGAATGCAACCGTGTTATTATGAAAAAAGAGGTCTTTTTTAATCCAGTCTTATTTTGCTCAAATGAAAGTAAAAAATATCCTATGCAAAAGATTTACGCCACTGTGCCGTCAAGGTCATTTAGTTTTCTATTTAAATGTTCCCTTGAATCCATCATTGGTTTACTCTCCTCCTTCAATGTGTTCACCTTGTGATCGTTTGAAACCGGGTCGGGTGTGCCGTTTTCAACCTGAACACCCAATTCCCCGCTGGACCAAGGATCACGTGGCTCGATCGCCCAAGGTTGAATGGAAGATGAGGAGAAGAACAAGAAGATGCACCCGGTGACTGCATAAATCGCAGCACCCAAATAAAAGACATAGCGCCATTCCTCATACGATTTCTGTAATAAATAGAATGGAATCGAGTTAAACACATTTGTCTTGGAAAACTTGCTGTACATTTGGGATGAAATGCAAAAATAGAAAGCACTGAGTATTCCTGTTTTCAATGGGCAAACTTTTCCAATTCAAACACTATGTGATACATCGTATAAATCAGTATTTTTCGTTTAGAATTTGTGATGTCATTCATTGGAAAAGTTCAAAACCTCGAGTGTTTAACAGAGCAATATACCCAGTTGAACTTTACGTGATGACCAGAAGACTGTCAGATCCCCGGAGTCGCTGTTGACGCACCTTGGTATGCGTCTGTTGGAACAACTGAGTAAAAAATGAAAGTTGGGTGCCAGTTGTGTATTGACATTGGTACACTGAACACACTGACTAGACTTTCACCAAACGAAATGTCTGAGCTATTTGGTGATCATGTTCAAGCATTTACCTTTTGTTGCGATGCGCATTCTGAGTAGAGACTAGTCATTGGGAGTCATACTAACATCCGACCTTATTGTATCAAGATCTTGTGCAATGGACTGAGTCAGACATGTCTTGTTCGGGCTCTAGGTGGGATGCTCGGCACAAATCTAACTGACAGATAGAGATAATGGCTAGTATTTCCTTGCATTGCAAGTTGTTCATGTACTCGTTGTTCTTCGCCAGTTACATTACTTTGAGTGCTCAACAGTCTCCCGGCTCGTTGTCTATTTTTATTCTTTTTTATTAATTTTGTTATGATCAAAATGCAGCAGTCAGAATCGTAATATGGGGCAATAAGTAAAATTTGGCTCAGCCCAACTAAAACTGATCTAAAATTGTACTTATGACCTGCTTGGCTCTACGCACTGTTTTGCGTGATCCATCTTCTTGATTTATTCAATGTTATTACAAATGTTGACTAGTAAATTCTTTAAAATAAATAAAAACGGGATTTATCGAGGAAAATTGATAGATAATATTTTAGTCTTCCGAGAATCAGTCGGGTCAAGTATGTTTTCCTTCGGTGAACAAGACTTTTTAAATTGTGATTGTTAAAGCAATTTGGACTTTTTATGGCGATTGTGAAAAGTTCAGTAACCTCGGTCGGATTAACACCCACGCACGGATGTCGCCTACGCTTTGTACGCGCCTTAGAAGCCTTAGAATCTCATTCGGTGAAGTTCGGTGAATTCTGAGGAAAACCTGTCGGGACAGCCAGCTTGCATACTAACTGGTGGGTGCCATGTGCCTCTGTAATTTGGATGGGTAAATTCGAATGTGAAAAGATCTCTGAAATCGGTGTGGCCTCGTAGCTCAGCTGGTAGAGCGTGCGCGTATAAAGCGTAGGCGGCATCCATGAGTGTGTTCGAATCCGACCGAAGCCACTGAACTTTTCCTAATCACCGTAAAAACTTCAAATCTGCCAAACAACAATTTGAACAATTTGGATTTCAAAGAGATATCTTTAACTAGGCTAATGAACTTCATTACACACACAATCGTCTCATTAGACCACCAACGCACATTTTAAATAGAACACAATGTAGCAAACAAGACTTATTTTCAGTGAGTCGTCTTCTTTGAGCAAATACTTCACAATGAATATAACTCGGCTAAAATATTGGAATGCGGACATGTTACTTGCAAAAAATCACAGTAATAAACTAATAAACTGGAAGGGATACAGATAATGTCCAGCGTTTCCGGTGCGGCTTTAGTCCGGATATGCCGAAGATCGGGAGGGGCGATTGAAAATGTGGTTAGTGCAGGGAAGGCAGTCTTCACAAATAGTTTGTGCGCACACAACGATAGATTGTGAAGGCGAATTCCCACTGCTTTCGCTGTGAGCAGGATGCGATGTTTAATCTCCTCAGATTGTTGTCCATGAACCTGGTAGAAGGGACGAAACGCCCTGGTCAAGTCAACTAAATGACCTAACTCGCCAAGATGTGAACAGATTGCGCTCGTGTGACTGACTTTGTCACCCCAGTGTGTACAACCAAGCCGGATAATACTCACAAATTTTCGCAGGCAGTCGTCTGATCGTGCGACCGACATACGTTGTTCCACAGAAGCAAGTGAAGGATTAAACACAGAATGAGGTCTCAGAAACAAGAACTTTATGTTTGACTTGCAGTCTGAGGGTAGGTCTGGATGTGAATGTGAGTTATATAAATTGTGATGTATTAACCAGAGAAGATAAATCACTGACAACAAGTCTTGTTTGCATTATAAGCCCGTATATATTTTAATGAATCATTGACAGGGGAAAAAACATATGCTTCATAATTGGGTGACCTGGACACGATTGACACCCCAATCACCGAACGGGATCAACTCACATTTGGAGTCAGTGCACTGACCACCAGCGGGCCGATAAATCCGGTTGCCGCGCTCAAACTGTTCGATCCGGCAAAAATGAAACCCGCATGTGTTGGACTCAGTTCGATGGGATTCAATAGGCCCCCGGTAAACACCCCGCTGTTCAACATCAATCCGAATGTGAACAAGGCAACAGCTAAATATTTCCAGTGACAAGTGAAGAAACTCATGACAATGAGGACTATTCCGGGCCCAAACATTCCTGAATGAAGCGAGAAATAAAATGGAACATTTTAAAGAAGCAATATTTTGGCTCGCGGTACTGACACGATAGCGGTTGACACTGAATTCTCCCAAGGACGTTTATCAATTTTCGTCTAGGAAATTCTTGTTTACATTTCAGCAGCAATTTCACAGTTTAAATCTTTTTCGCTTATCCAACTTGACGGCTTGACATGAGTCCGTGGCATCATCATGATTACGGTATGAATGATAGGTAATCCTTGATGCAATACTTGACCAAATAGTTCGAGATGATAGATCAGATGTTTTTTCGGGGGGAGGGGGGCGCGAAGGCGGCGGAGTTAGAGATTACACAATAACTAAAGTTTTACATATTTTTAAACAAATAACTGATTATTGTGCATGAAGATACAAAAATAAACTTCAACACCGCGAAAATGACAGTATATCCTGGAATTGCAAAAATTAGATGAGAACGAAAAGAGATATTTTCTTCAAGAGAATGTAGATCAATCTTTATGTATGAAAGGAGCTGTTTTTTCGTGTTTGTGACTTTAATTCAGCTGTCACGATCTTTTTTATGTTTATTATAAGGGAATAACAAACCACATGCCAATTTTGTGGTCTAATATTATCTGTTTCAAAACTTCTAACCGTCAACAACCACTTCCTTATGAGCTCTAACTCCGGAGTCCAGAGTAGTACGCAAGGGGATGGCTGGTTTAATCATACCGTCCCCTCACATCGTGGTTTATTCGAACAAGGCAATCGGGTAGTATGTTGCTCCTGGATATCATCGAATTCTCTAGCGTATATTGTTTAACAAAACAATAACCTGTGGACTATTCCCCAACCTGGCGTTTTATACATCCCTCTCAAAATTTTGTGTTGTATTTTTACGAAAACTTTGAGAAGCAGGCATTCCTAAATCTCAGTTCACCAGCAAACGGAGGTCAATATTTGAAAATCCGATCACTGGTTATTCTCAATGGTAACAGTTATCATTTGACCCCCATTCGTTCGAACGCTTCCATCAGTATAGTGTTTGTTGTTGTTGTTGTTGTTGATGTTGCCTTAACGCCTTGTCCGGCCTTTGTCACTGACCGAGTTAATAGGTCGCATCAAACGAGACACAACTAATCCCGTAAACTTTGAATCGTATCTGCATGCCAGTCCGATCATTATGCACCGAATCCGTAATCCACACGATCGATTTGAACACATCAATCAGTCAGATTGGAGGGCAGGCAGCGGTGAGCCTTGTACGTGAAATTTGTGTGTGTGTGTGTTGTACGTTTGAGTTATGGGACACGGAGGAGGTGAAGGAGGAATGGACAAGCAGCGAGCACAGACATCCATAAGAACAGTATATGCATTGTGTATATGTGCATTAACGGAATTTACGTCATCCTGTCCTGTAGGTAAACAATGTTCAGTTGAATTCTGTCAAGACTTGAAAGTGTCCGAGAGGGGTAAAACAAATGATCTGGTTGGTGAAATGCGTCCACCCAATCTGTGTGTTTTGGGGATGAGATACGAAGCCAGGCCCTTTAATCTGTGTATATGAACGCTATTTCCATGCACCGAAAAGCAGCTAGATTGTAAAATAGCTGTTCTTCTAATTGTTCATGTTCAAACAAGCCCTCACAATGTGTACAATTACTGACTCATCTAGCAAATTACCAAACAGTATAATTAAAAGTACGTGATTTGCTCTGATGTTCCGTTTATTTTTTTATGGGATTAGAATTACCGTGGGATTTAAGTGCACGCTGTATTTTCATGTCAAACGAACTGTGAATTTCGTGATTATAAAACTGTTCTCTACAACTGATGCACTATGGACTTAATTCATCATAGAGTGCGAAACTGAGGATTAGAGAGGAACGAAAGCCACTTTGATGCAAGGTCAAACAGTTACGAAAGAAGCTGCGGACGAATCAAGTGCGTTTTCGGAGGACATGGTCAACACTCATCGCGATCTAAACAGTAATTAAATTCAATTTATAACAACCCCTCTCCGTATTTATTTAGTAAACGGTTATACAGTATTTATCAAAGGTTAGGTTTACGTTTGACAAAACTGTGAAAAAACACAATAGGAATTGTGAACGCTGGAACTAACGCACGATTGGAAGAATGTTACAAGAGGCCCAACAGTAACATGGCGAGCAAGAATAATGAAGTTGACGGTAACGCTCTTCCGTTCAAATTCCCTTCAACATCACACATTATTTCCCAGTGTCTCTGAATGAAATCCTGCAGGTGTTGCCTCATGACAGAGTTCAACAGCAGAGCTGTTTAAGGTTTTGCTACATCTCATGTTATAACGAAACGCTCTAAAAACAGAATTGCAAACACATGGGTTGGCATTTTCCCGTTACTTTATGTGTTTTCTTATTCCTTAGGGACTTCAGATGCGATTGGAAAACAAATGAAAACCAGACCAGTAGGGGATGCGAAATATATCAAGATCAAACGGGATAATACCACGTTCACTCGGCTAATGTGAACCGGGCCCAGCTAGAGGCATATGTGCATTCGCTTGACATCTTCCTTGCGTGTAGCTAACCCTTGAATGACTTAGTGATCTATTCTGTAATCCTCAGTCGGGTCGATGGATTCGCACTGCTGATGAGACCCAACCAGGTCAAAACAGCTGTCCAGTGCTTCCGAGCTTTTCAGTTCACACTTCATTTGCTATATACACGACGAATTCCCATTTGATATTCTGTAGATGTTTGAAACGCTGTTTCCCCTATCTAAAATTAGCTGCCACACTAATGACGACAGTTACTTTATCTTTTGAGCTTGGACATCTTATATTGTTCAGGTGCAAGTGACATACTTAAGTACATTTGATGACAGAGTGGGGGATGCATCAAGCCCCATTAGTTCTAATCGATCCCCGCAATGTGAACCACACACCGGCTTGTGTGTCAGTTTGCACATTCGATAGATAGTATGCCTGCACTGAAGCAGAAAACTGAAATCAACTTCTTTGGAACAATGAAGTGAACCCCAGACTAGGATACTTTCCAGATAGTGTAATGTTTCGCCAAATCAAAAACAGATAAAACATCTTGGCAGGAGAATTTCCTTTATTTAGGCTGCTACTTTTGGCATTAGCAAACCTACTGCGTTCACGCTGACTACTCACGTTTACGGTTCTCACAACTAGCAAGCCGTTTTTATTCAACAACCTTTATATTTCAAGCCTTCCTTACTTTATGACATTGTTAAAGTGCAAAGAACAGTGTCGCGTTATTTCCTACAACTCAAGTGTTTTGGGAGAACATCACCACCACCACCACAACAACAACATTAATATCAATTCGTGAACCTCCCCATTGATAACTAAAAACTCACGCTAGTGTGAGTGGCCTCTTTCAATTTGCGTGTCTAATTATCCGAACTGGCACGCTAATCTAGGAAAAAAATTAGGATTCTGCAATTAACCCATGAGTGTTTTCTAGATGATGGAATGACTGAGCCATACCATATTCTGGTATTTATTGGGCTTTGGATTGCCACGATACCTTCCCCCAACTTTCGGGACGAGATTGGACAGCATATTCCACTCCGTTCAGTTGTCGATAGTTCAATTACCAAGTCTGCATTGATCATTTTGCGCACAGATAACTGTTTCCTCTTTAGCGATGGGAATCACAGCCTTTAAGGCGAAAAGATGGAGGAAAAGTACTCTTCGGTTTTGTAAAACTTGTTGCTCAATTTATTCATTCTGCATCCTTGAACGTAGGCCCTCGAGAGTGCAACTCTTTTTGATTGTAAAGCATACCCCTTCATACAGCTACCACATGAGATGTTTCTATTTGAAGCAAAAGAGTAGACCACAACTGTTAAAACGTGTGTGGGTCAACTGTTTTACCTGCACCACTACAGATGAGTTCGGAATAAAAACTACTTGAATCTCACTGCAATCGTGGGCATCATTTGTCGTTATTAGGTCCTTGAACGTTTTCAACTTTCCTTCAACCTAATTTTTCTTACTGGTATGTCTCAGCCATACCGGAGGCCTGGGAGTGGTTCTTGATGAGGGTTGAAAGCATTACTATCTCAGTTTCTACACAAATTATCATATGGTTATCGGAAGTAATCTTGGATAGTAGAGCTCGTTACGATGAAAACATGCGCACGGAAACATACTACTCAAATGATCAAACTGCTTACCAATACAAGTCATCAGTTTTCGAACAACTCCGACGCGCAGTTGTCTACGTGAAATAATTCTGTCAGACAACCAACCTGTAAACATTTGTCCGATCCATAAACCAACGTATGGCAGAGCAGATAAACCGGCATTCTAAACAATAAGATTAAATAGACATTTCAAAATATACATTCGTATGAAAACCAAAGTAAAGTAGAACAATAGAAATAAAACGTTTTCAGTTCCTGATACTCTAATAGGCCATGGGCTTTTGTTGAGCAAGGATTCACCGTGTAATGCCGTATGTTGTGGGTTTAGCCTCTCCAACCGAATGGCTTTTCCTAGATGCATCAGGAACCATTCGAAAAGGAAATTAAAGCCAATTTCAGGGCGTAAAATTACATAGTCTAGGTATTGCAAACTCGCTTCATTTCTGACTTCCTACATAAGGCAACCTTAGCAAATTTTTGCCACGACAGTTCTGGATCGTCTGAAGACTTCATCAGGTTCATCTGATCCACCCCTGGTAATCAAAACCCAGACAATGGTAGAACATAATGCTTCTCATTTCATTGTCAGCATGCGCTCCCATGTAACTTGGAAACCATAGAAAAAACTACAAATTTGTATAGGGTAATAAAAAGGCGTTAACATGAATCCTTGCATCATGACACGAATGAAGATTACTCTTTTACACTAACTACTTTACCTTCACAAAGCAGCTCACTGGGCACATACCTCTTGAATATCGAATTGTAGCACTTCACGCATGTAGGCCGGCATACTGGTTAGAAATGTATAACCGTTCCAATCGAATCCCACGTTGATGGCTACAAATGCCCAAACTGGAACAGAGGTCAGTATTGCTTTGATAGGAATTTTGGACTAGAATGGAAAAAGAGAAACAAAATATTTATCCCAATTACATTTTGTTTGGCTTTTTTCTCTAAGATCAAAGGAATCCATGTGCTCATAAATAAGTTTCGTCACCATTCTGACGCAGCCTATCCGAAGTCATTGAATTGAGTTTAAAAATTGTTTTACTCCTTCCCGAAACACACGTAAACTGCACTGCGCCCAGTACAAAGTTCACCGAGTAAGCGATAAACGGGAGAGAAGGCGAGCTAATCCTGTCTAATCACGTGNCGTGATATGTTTTGAAGAAATTTTGGACAGCAGGAGCATGCCATTGGCCTTTTCCCAATGACTGGACGTGCCTACGACTGTGATCAATACGTCCGTAGTTTGTGTTGTTGACTCTGCTATTTCGTCAGTCCGACGTGGTACAGGCAGAAAGATTGATTGTGTTTTTACGATATCCTCGTGAATGTACTAATCAAGTTTACGTCCCAATGATATGACGCGTAAACAACAAAAACAGATGAGGGCAATTCAGAATGAACACCAACGTTTTCATGTGTTTTCCTCCTTACCCGAAAATCATGGTTATTATCAGCATCATTGATAATAATAATGCAAAGGACGTATCTGTTTTAATTTGCTTTATTCATTATGGGTATTTATCGTCCGTTGCAATACGATAGCGAAAGCTCCTGTCCACATCTATCCACATCATTACGCTCTATCTGGTCTATCATATCCGTCTTTGCAATCCCGAAAAAGAAGTTGCCTCTGACTTGTACAAATCTCGACGGGACGTCTCCACTTGCTTAGTTTGTCCAACAAGCATTTTTTTTATTCTTCTATCATCAATACTACTGCTACTAATACAACTACCAATACTGTTGATACTAATCGTAATACTATACCAGCTGAATAAAACGTTTCCGTCTATGCGGTACATGAGTACGGGGAGCGGAAGATAACTGGGAAAGGAACACGTGAATTGTAAACTATTGCATGGATATTAATCGGTGATTGCAATTCACACAGAACCAGATATTAACGCAGCCGAGCACAGCTCACAATTCATACCAGGGTCGTTATACTCGGACTATAAGGATAGAACCCAGTCGTTATCACTGTGGAGGGCTATGATTTTCTACGACTACAAATGTGATTTAAAGCAGCCGCAGCAGCAGATTTTTGATCGTTTACGAGCTGCCTTTGGTGACGACACGCCTTCTAGACTGCGTTCCCAAATGTCAAGCGCACGATGCAGGGAATCCGAATCAACTCATCAACAGTTGAGGTGGAGGCCTTCATTAAACTGGTCGAAGGGTTGGTTACCCGCTTCGGCATGGACAAGCTGTTTCACCGAATGGCTTGATCGCATGGACTTGTATGCATTACCGTTGTGGGAAATATCTCTAGAAAATGTGATAAATACAACATTGCAAAACCGGAACCTTTATTTTTGGCCCTCGTACTTCGCTTCGTAGACATAATTGAAAATTAACGTGACTTTTAGCAGTTTCGCTTGCATTATCCAGATGTGTAGAAGAAATTGGGCGCATATTCACTCAAACGTGAATCATTTTATTTATTTTAAAATACTTGAGCATGTGATTTTCATTTTCATAAGCAGAATGTTGGCTAAAGAGAATCCAATCATGAGATTATATGGAAGGATTTGATTCAATTTCATAGATGGATCATGTCGAAACACGTGTACAGTGCTTCCTAGCTAATCAATTCACGCTTCAGTTGCTCTCTATACACGACGAATTCTATGCATAAAAATCCAATCAGTTTATTGTGTATTGTTCAAATTTGCTTTCCTTCAAGTGCTCAGATGAGCAGATGGATATGAATCTACTATGACTACAACAGTACAAATTATTGTTTTTTTTTCAACGGCTAGGTGAAACTAGTGAGTTTCGTGTGACAGTAACACTTTTTTTGTAAACCACTTTAGAAATTCTGAGCTGTTCCTCGTTTGCATCATCAAACAACAAAATCAGTCTTACAATCAATCGAATGACAGAGAAACGTTAAACATACTAGTCACGGGAAGTGAAGAGACTCGCCCTATCAAAACTGCCGAGATGGTATTGGAAGGATAATTTGGGTAAAGGATGAGACAAACAGTGCATGTGTAAAACTCACTTTCTTTTTCCGTTTCGGGGTTGGATCTCCGCACTGTGCAATGATAAATCGCTGCTCTTCCACTGAGATACGCGGATGTGATCTGGGGGTATCGTAAACCAAAGTAGCCCATAGAACGGCGTATATAAAGCTGAAGGCTCCTGCAATTTAAACGAAGCGTGCGTGCATCAGTCAACCGCCTAGGCATTCCATGACAACGAATTCCAACATTTGATCATTTGAATTGACTTAGGGGAGACTAAAATGGTGGACTGTTTCAGAAACTCCAGTCCCCACGGGGGAGAATCGGTGAAAAACCTTCTGATATTTTGAAGAGCATAACAGACAAGGTTTTCTAGATTATTCAAACTGAAATCTAACAAGGAATTTTACATCTTACCCGCAAGCGGACAGTGACCGCTTCTCCAGCGGTTGATTTTACAGAAAGGAAATTGGAACTGAAGCCCCAAACGCATTTGGTTTTCCATTTTTTCCTCCACGTTAGACTACTATTTACTGATCCCGAAAAATGTGGAGATTATTGGGGGAGTCTGCAAGGACTCCGTGTGTGTATAGGCTGTTTACAAACTTTAATGAACAACAGAGTAACAAACAAGCTCGTTTTCAGATATTCCCATCCATGCCAATACATGTCAATAAAAGTCATTACTTGGAAAGAAAATTGTCTTGGGAAAATAAAATCAGATAAAATCACAGATAACTGGAAACGATTTCATCGTGAGACCGGAAACCGGGTTCACCACGATCACATGTTTGTTTGTCCACTTATCCGATCATCTAGATTACTCATGATGTGGTGTGTGTGGGAGTGGACCAGCGAAGCTTTAGCGCTTGCATAAATTGTTTTTGGACACAGATGGAGGTGGCGCAGACGAATGCCTACGGATTCTGCTGTAGCCAGAATCCGACAGCGAAACTGCCTCGATAATTGCCCATGAACTTTATACAGGGGTCGGAAAGCCTCGGTCACTCCACAGTGTGATTTGTTCCAGCTAGGTGTGAAACCACTGCACTGGTGAGTGACTTAATCGCTCCGGTAAAGAAATGTACAGGGATTTTGTTCTTGTACAGTTTTCCGTCCGCTGATTGATTGTTCATTGGTTGATTGTTTACTAAACGCTCCTTACACCCGGATACCCGACGAGTGGACAAACAAACATGTGATCGTGGTGAACCCGGTTTCCGGTCTCACGATGAAATCGTTTCCAGTTATCTGTGATTTTATCTGATTTTATTTTCCCAAGACAATTTTCTTCCCCAAGTAATGACTTTTATTGACATGTGTTGGCATGGATGGGAATCTAGGAAAACGAGTTTCTTCGCCACTCTGTTGTTTTGTTTGAAACGTGCTCTGCGGGACTAGTTCGAAAATTTTTAATGAGTCATTCACTGAAGAAAGATCAACAAAGCACGCACTGTATTGGGTAGTTTGCATTTTATGTCTATACAGCAGTTAACTATAGATAAATCCATAGGGCTGTAGAAACGCCTCGTCTGAAGGGTAGACTAGGAAAAGTATAGTGTGGACCCCAGATGAGACATTAAACTTAAACCGAATAAATGATGGTAGCAGAACATCCTTGAGCATACAGATAATACACAACATGGCATCCACAGATATTAGAAAGGCTTCCAAAATTATGGGAATATAAATTACAGTTAACCAGTACAGAAGCGGACTGACAAACATTCAGTTCAAATTTATCACCCACTCTGTATTGCTCTGAGTCCCGAGAGCTGATGGTAATCAGAAAGCCGATTATTGTTGGTATTTTCCTAGTAAAACTGATTTGACATCATTGACACGTATTCCAGTACAGAAACAGCACCAATATACTACTGATCTTTTGGTAGTAATACTGAATTAATTCACTAAAACCATGAAACGTGGTAAATGTAACTCTTCGAAGCAAACATTCTGGAAACATCTATGCCATACATATTTTGTGGATCCCAATGAAATGAAAGATTTTATTTGAAATCAAATTTCAATATTGCGCAACCATTTTAATGTTTTCCATCATAAACTATATGTCAAACCTCCAGTTTACTTTTACGGGTATTATCGATCAAAACAAAGTGTATGCACTACACGATTCCAGTGGCTCTCATGACTCCCCAACACAGCTGTATTAGTTGGATGCGCAAGAGGTGCGATTAGAAAAGATATGCTAGAAACATCCACAAGCATTTGATTTATTCAATTTATTTGCCTCAAGTCCAGAACGAAACAAGGAAACGAATTAGGCCAGATGCGTTTGGAAGATTGTCAGAACTAGCTGTCTGAAGTCAAAACAGAGGTGGAGACCTTTTTCAATAAAGCTGACTCTAGTGCACATGAATTCAGAAACCACCCGTCAGGCAAGAAATGTCCATTAGCACATGGAATAAATAACTCATGCAAAATCTATTCCATACTTACACTCCCGCACAATTTTGCACGAAAAATTTCTTCACGATATTATAGAACCGATTTTGACTCTTATGGAATTTTCTTTTCATTACAACCCTTTTCAACTCAAACAGGATTGAAAATCTGTGAAAATCTGTATAGACACGATCAGCAACTTTATTGTCGGCATTCATTCATAGCTGCATATCGAGCATCCGTTTAACGAAATCTGACATTAATTTGGTCATAGTGTGTGGCTAAAAGATGACACACCTTTCTCTCTCACTCACAATGAAGATGGCATGTTTTGCGGAATCCCATATGTGGTGGTGACAAAACCGGGCCGAACTGTGTGGTATATGTAGTTCACTAATGACAAGCCGGGCGAACAGGGCAGGTGATATGGTCAGTGGTATCAAATTGACAGAGGCATGCTTGGTTTTGTTTTTTGCATAATTGTACAGACACGTTGAGCGAGTCATGAAGCGCTGGTCCAGCCCGAGTGTGATCATAGAATGCGAAAAATTGCAATCTGGTGCAGAGTTGTGGTTAAAAATTAGAAAAAGACACCAAATGATGCCCTGTCTTAGAAAGGAGTCCAGGGTAAATGCAGGGAGTATTTGCTGCGAAAAGTAGCAAATAAATGATCGCGCAAATGGTTGTTTGGCAGATTGAAGTTTGATGTTGTGATTGTGAAAAGTTCAGTTCGAACCCACGCATGGACGATGCCTACGCTTTCGTACAGCAAACGCTTTACCAGCTGAGCTACGAGGACACACCGATAGCACTGTTTTTTCACATTCGAATTACCCATCCAACTTACAGAGGCACATGGCATCCACCAGTTAGCATATAAGCTGGCTGTCTCGACAGGTTTTCCTTAGAATTCACCGAAGTCCACCGAATAAATGAACGCCTAAAATGAGCAAACCGTTATTCTAAAATATTTGATAAATGCCAAATTGGTGCGCTGTTTCAACCCCGCACTACGTTGCAATGACCAGTGTGAATCGTGAACGAGGTCAAACAGTTCCGAACAGTGATAACTTACCGTAGAAATAGAACACGGAAGCCCAACCGAAGGACGCAGAACGACACAATGCACCCGAAATGGGAAGTGTGATTGCGTTGCCAATGTGCACTCCTAGGAAGCGTACAACAGAGAGAACATAATTCTACTAAAAGAACGATTATCAAAGTTTTATAGTACAAAAATGAAACTGTAATCATCGCACCTGTCGGCAAGACTGTAGCCCACAGAATATTAAGCAAAATTTTACGGTCAAGTATACATCAACAGCTAGAGTGTAACAGACCAACTGGGGAACGAATAGATGCCTCTGCGCACTCATTAGACATTAACCCAGAACTCAACGTAGTTATAGCGCAAACACATCACCGAAAGACAGTCAAAAGAATCAGTACATATTGACCCCGCAAACCAGAATTATGTAACATTCAAATAACATGATTGAAACGGTTAATAGTATGAAAAAATGTTTCACAGTAACAAAGCTGTACTTGGCCAAAACAATTGTCAATAGGCTGTGCTTTTAGAAAGATAAAGATTGTCGAATCTATTTACCATCCTCTGTGCGCGTTTCCATTCACAAATTTACTTAGTTACTTATCTTTCCCTTGATACTGTCTTTACCTATATTTATTATCCACCACTGAACATCTCATGCCGCAATATGCACTTCACAATGGCCATAAATGATCCCATTTCTTTGTTCGCCTACCAAATTTGTATGTTCTCTCGCATGACCGCCATCCTGACCCTGATTGTGGTCTGACTCACCCTGCCCTCTTATGGTCGTATCGGGTTGCTTAATCTGATTTGCATTGGTCCTCTATCGCACCTATGCGTCGTACTGACCCGTGTGTACATTATTTCACTTTTTGCTTGATCGCATAAACCAGCGGCGAACATTGTTCGTTCTCCATTGGCATTGTTCTCGTTCAGGCAAATCCCCGCGAGGCGAACACCACGGTTTGAGAGATGTGTTCTTTGTGTAATTGTAACGCTTCGGATTTCCAGTAACACAGCATGATTCGCTGTTGTTTTGAAATCGTTTAAAACCTCGAGAACATTTGGACTTAATTTTTGAGGTTGCGCGTCACTCAATTTTGGCCTGGTTATTCGTATGTATTTAACACATCTATTGATCACATGAATCATCGACAGAATGGTTTTAGCCTTGAGCCAGTAAAAAAACTAAGAAACATGCTGAAAAACTTTGAAGTTCTAACACGATGATACTGTTCATACCAGGGAGCTCAAGATAGTGTGTGTCAGACCAAAATGAAAAAATTATTCTGCGGCAAGTCGTACAAATGAAGTAAACCTTTAGTTTACACAAGATTGAAATTTCTATGAATTCTCCATTGTTTAATACATCAATCGAGAAATGAGCATAATGTAGGGTACTCTTCAACACACATATTTCAAATAACCTTCTTATAATAATAAGTGTTTTGCAGTACTTTTGTCGGCTTCACTTACCCGCGTATGAGAATCCCACAAGGAGTCCGCGCTCATTTGGTGGAGCCCAAGCGGCCCAAATTTTATAAAATCCAGGAAACCAAGCCGCCTGTCGTAAAAGGATACGAGGATGAAATGAGTGAGTGATCAGACTATAGTTTTAGCATGCGCGTTCTGAGCTGAAGATAAATTTCCATTGCTTGTGTAGTTTACCGTAAGCATTTTAAGCTTGAGAAACAAAACACAATAACTAAACAAATCACGAACAATATTCACGATCAGTATTGCAACATTTTTATGACTTCTATTTCCGATTTTGCCCAATTTGCTGGCTTATTACCGATTGCTTTTTCCTATCCCTTTTAATATGTATACAATACAATATACAAAATAAACGCGAATACGTAAACAAATAGCCACGCTGATCGTAACAGGGCACTCAAATTCCTCAAGCACAATTACCAAATTTTCACAACAAATTTTGTCGTATAGAAGGCAAACCTGTGTTGATTAAAGCAAAAGGGTACTGTACAGTTGTTTTTATCTTACGCTACCACTCACAAATGACCAGGTTAAGAACTGTTCTGATCAATTCAAAAACCCCGAGGCTAGTGCAAACATGAGCGACTATGGATGCTGGTGCAACGCTTGCAGGCAAGGCATTCGGATTGATATAGTTAAAGGCTTGGTGATGCAGCGGCTCATTTATGAACTGAGTAGTATCCTAGTGTTTTAGCTGGGCGGTTCCGGGTTTACCTGTCAGTGGGATCACTGAATTCCCATTTTTTTAGTGCATCCTGCTTTTTCTCTGTATGAGATAAAATAATTAAATCTCTAGATTTCATTCCTTGGGTATCGAATTCCTCATATATAATAACATTTGTGACACTTTGAGCTTAACTTAAAATCCCTGTAAAGGAGACGATAATTCCTCGCGAACTGTTCAACCCCAGCAACAATCTGAGGTATAAATAGAAAAGGTTTTTCAATTCTACTCCATAAAAGCCTCAGATCTTTCATAGCAGACAAGACCATGTCTTTTGCCATGAGTTGGTTGCTTTTGAAGAGTACATTTTCCAGAATGTCCCCTTTGTTAGGTTCATCGATTGTCTGCTTAATCAAAGGTTACTTGCAGCCAAAAAAACATCTAGGCACCTTGTTGAGCATCGAATTGCAAGTTTGCAGCAATCAGATAGCATTGATTCCAAGCAACTTCAAAGGGCACAAAAGGTTAATTCAACACATTGAACCAGAACAGTGGATAGATTGGACACAGACCCATGCGAAAGTACTACTGTGTCACTTTTTCTTCGAATGTTGCATAAAATGGTCCCATGGAAGCCGCTCTTTATTCCTTCCCGATTTTGGCGGTTGTGGTCACCGGCTTGATTGATCATCGAGGTGTATTGGGCTCTTTGGGCGTTTGACTTCGTCCAAAAGGGCGTATGATCCGATGAACTGGACACCGGCTCCCAATGGATTGCGGTTTTCGCACACTGCCACGCTGCCTTGCTGATCAGGCTTTGGCTAGCCAAAGGCTCCGGTTCTGGATTCCTCAAAAGAAATTCACCTACCTTGGTCAGGGCAACCTGGTAGTATTCAGCCCACATGCAAATCATAGAACTTTTTTTCTGTATAAAGATTATTGGACCATGATTTGTTTGGCACACAGGCTTGCCTCAGACAAGTGTGAAATATAATATAATAATAGTGCTCACTACCAAAGACGTGAGAAGCGTTTCTGTTCTGTTGGAAAACGATAGTGTGCACGCGCACACGCGCCTTCGACCTATACAATAATTCTCACGATACAAATGCACTCAGATTCCGATATGCATGCGTAATCCACGGTACAAAGCAACTACCTGTGAATGGCAACATGTGGATTGTGAAATGATTTGACAAGTGAGTTGCACACACACACACACACACACGTGAGGTCGGGGATAGTGATCACGTGACACTGGCGATGCGCTGCATCGGAGGTGAGCGAGGGATCAGACACAGGCTCACGCATTTCAGTGCAGTGATGATCGTGTCAAGAAAAATCAACGGACTGATTTTACTTGGAATTTATCACTGTGCTACACATCCATGGGACTTAAATCTGTTTATGGCAGGTCGTGCTTACCGAATTCTAACAGTTATCAGTTTGTTGACATAAGGCATGACAGAATCAGGCAGCCAAAGTCCAGCTGGATAGTAACACGAATAGTGGTGCAACAACAATTCAACTACTCACTTCTCTACGCAATGTTGCCTCACAGTTTCCAAAATAGGTACGGCGACACAGTTCGAAGAAAGTGAATTCCTAAAATGGAAAACATCAAGCAAACGCTAATTATGCGTGGGAACAATAGGCGTGCAAAGAAGCTCACTGAAATACAAATGAAGAGGTGGAGATTATGAGTCCATAGATTAATCGATGATGGTGCAAATACACACGTCATCAACAACAATGCATTAAAGCAAGTTGGGCGAAGAGACAGTAAAACTGTAACACTAGATTTATGAATTACCGACCTCCTCATTCCAACTGAGGAATGCACCGACTGTGTGACGTGGTAGTTTGACAACCTGGTGTGAACAAACACAGTGTGAGAAGAAACACAAAAAACAAGCGAATGATTTTCTTTTGCTCCTGTACAGTTAGTTAGTTGTTATACAACGAAAAAAGGTTGATCAGTGGATTGTTGTGAACTCGACTAGCAGGGAAGCAAGTCACTGGAAACTGACCGTCTGTTTTACCAATACTGTCAATCATGGTCCCTCCCCCCCTCCTCCTCCTGCTCCTTTCTGGGTCCCACACACGCCCAAAGTCAAGGTTACGAG